CAAACGGGAAGGAGAAATGGATCTGAACACAAGATGATGCCCGTCATCTCTAAATTAGACAATCACAGCAACCAAACTCATCAGTGCGCACCTTGTTCGCTTTTTCCTCTCACACCAGCAGCACTCCGCAGCTCCAGCTACTAGATTTTATTTTTATTTTTTAATTTTTAGGGGTTATTTTAAGCGTGGCACAAAGTTACAAAGTTAGCTTGTAGTCACAGCTGTCCACTGGCAGGGGAATTCTAAAACAAAAAGTCACAAGTGTAATAAAATAAACATTCCTCCATCTCATGACCATATTTCAACAACAACAAATTAACAGTTTGTTAGTTTCTTGGCTCCGCCCTCTCCCCTGTCGACTCATCTGAGGCAGCCATGGCCAAAGTGATTCAAAACATCAAAGTTCATGCTCAATAATCCAGGTAAAAAATCCAACAAAGTTTAGTCAGGTCCTCTGGACGGTTTCTCTTTTTTGAGACTCTTCATCCAAAGGACTTCATCAGTCATGAAGGACGAACCGTCTCAACACAAAAACAATCCGTCCAGATGACCTGACTTCTAAGCAGAGACCTTTTTACAGGATAACTTGTTTTTTTTTTTGTGACAAATGACAAAAAGTTTGACTAAGTCCTTTTCTCTGTCCTTTTCTTCACCTTTGTGTGATCAGTCCTTTTTTGAACGATGAAGAAAAAGAAAACTTGAATTTAGCACGTCCGACGTTCAGCACGTCCGTATTCTCAAATACGTCGGTTTGAATTTCATCCATCGTGTTTCTAACGCACATCTTGTTTTATTCAACAATTTTTTTCTTTAAAAAGAAAAGGCTTTTTTTTTTAATACACTGAGTTATTGTCATCTAGTACAAATCGTGTTCCTAAAGCTGCTTTCGTTTGGTCGTCTGATGCGACTAACTGAGGCCCGACGTGGCGTGAACCGAGCCGACGCGTCGTCCGGTTCAGACACAGCCGGGACTTTTCCCGTTGGAGCCAAAACACAACGGTAAAATTATTCAACAGCTGAAAACTCTCACTCACGGACGACAACTAAATGTTTCTGCTAGCTCAAATTTCAGAAAATCTGATTTGCAATTAGTAAATGATCAGAGCATTCTTTTATTTTTAATGTAATCTGGCAGGGTTTCTTATTTCTATTTTTAAAGAAAACGTTCAGTTTAATCGATCCATGTGAGTTGGAAAAGGGAAATTGTTTAAAATGTCCTAAAATAACCGTTTTTGTTCAAAAGTATGAACGTTAACGTGCATTCATGCTGCATTGTTGATTGCAGCCATTTAATTTTTTTACTAGACTGAAAGGGAGTTTTTTATTTATTTATTTTTTTTTCAAGCTGAAGAAATGACGCCAAAGGGAGGATACAAAAGACGGTCTAATGGCAGAAGTCTGATTGTTTCTTTATTTTTAGGTTCAACAAATCGCCAACTCATGTCTGAATGTCCCGGCTTCAGTCATTTTTTTAATACTAATCATCTATTGTATTAAATATTTTGGTCCTGTCTGTTCAAAATAAACATTTTGCCCCCTGTTTACCATTTTGTGCTTAAGAGGTTTTTTTTAATGTGTACAATAAAAGTAAAGGTTCATTATCAGAACGTGGTCCAGTGACTTGGAAGACAATTGAAAAGCACCAATTTAATCCAGAGGGATTTTTTTATATTTTTTTACCTTGAAGAAATGAGTCAAATTAAGTTCTGCAGCAATTCAGACCAATTTAAAAGATATTTAAGCACAAATAGTTTTTTCTTTTAAAAGATGTACAGTGAAAATAGACACATTGCAGCTAATGGTGATTGGAATTTTTTGAACTTTTCTGTTTAATCAAAGTGACTGTCCGTTGTTTAAATCTTTCTAAAACAATCCAACTTTTGTTTTTAAAAGATCCATCAGGTGACAAAATAAGTTTTTTTTTTTTATACAAGTTAAAAATGTATACATTTGAGAAATAGCCATAGGAGATAAAGAAAATATAGCACGGTGGCTCAGTTGGTAGAGTTGCCACCTCTCGGTGAGAAGGTCGCTAGGTCAAACCCCAGTCCAGGGACCTTTCTGGGTGGAGTTTGTATGTTTTCTCTGTGCATGCGTGGGTTTTCTCCAGGTACTCCAGTTTCCTCCCACAGACCAAAAACATGCATGTTAGACTGATTGGTAACTCTAAATTGTCTCTAGGTGTGAATGGTTGTTTGTCTCAATGTGTCCCTGTGATGGACTGGAGACCTGTCCAGGGTGTCCCCCGCCTCTCGCACAGTGACCCGAAAAGGAAGAAGCGGGTAAAGATAATGGATGGATGGATGGATGGAAAAAGAAAATGACCTTTTAGTTAAAACTAATGATTTGATGTTTACAAAACAGATTCCACCATAAATGAGTGATTTAATAAGAAAAGGGCTGAACGAGTGATGACCAAGGGTTGCCAGAGAAACGTCTCTTCTCTATAAAAGCAGCGAGGCAGCACGACGTCAGCTTGAAAAAGCTTTGTCTGAATGAACCACGAGTCTTTCGGACCAACGTCCTTTGGACACGAGACCAAAATGGGAATGTTTGTAGAAAACAATTCTTAACTAATTACTGCAACAACTTAACCTCAAAGGTTTCAACTAGAACTTATTTCACCTTTTGTCTCTTCACACTAAACTTCAGTTGTTTACATTCCTCCGGACGCTAATGCTAATGAATCACTGCAGGAGCTTCATGATATCATCAGCTCGCTGCAAAGCAAACACCCCGAGGCTCTTTACGTGGTAGCCGGAGACTTTAACCACGTGAATCTAAAGGACTGTCTCCCAAGCTTTAATCAGCATGTGACGATTCCGACACGTGGAGACCGCACGCTGGACCGTGTTTACACGAACGTAAAAGATGCATACAAAGCCGAACCCCGCCCCCACCTAGGACTGTCAGACCACATCTCAATCTTCCTGGCTCCTGCTTACATGCCCCCGCTGAGACGCTCCAGACCGGTACAAAAGAAAGTTAAATGCTGGATCCAGGACAGTGGCCCCATACTGAGAGATTGTTTTGATCGAACAGACTGGCAGGTTTTCAGAGAAGCTGCTGAAAATGGAGGTTCGCTTGATCTTGACCAATACACATCCTCAGTCCTGGGTTACATTAGTACATGTACTGACACAGTCTCCACTATCAGAAATGTTAAAAGCTACCCAAACAGAAAACCTTGGCTGAATGCAGAGGTGCGTACCCTGCTGGAAGCCAGGAACACTGCCTTCAGGTCTGGAAACTCAGAGGAGCTGAGTAGGACAAGAAAAGAGCTGGTTGCTGGTATTAAGAGGGCCAAGGCCACATATGCAAAGAGGATCGAGGGTCAATTCATCTCACAAGACCCTCGGAGCATGTGGAGGGGCATTAAGTGCATAACAGATTATAAAGGAAGG